TGGTGTCACAGAAGAGAAACTGAACTGAGCGGTGTGTCCAGGATAGACCTGCTTTCTGCCAGTGTTCTAGTGTGATTGTCCGCAGTGCTTCCCTCCACTGTGGAGAACTTAGCTTGGTGGGTGCACTGTGTTCTCACAGAGGTGACATGAACTGTCTAGGGAAGAGGAAACCAATCGCTATTTTCCTAGGGAGTGACTGGAAGCCTGGAGTTCGGAGATTCTGACCCAGAGTGCTTGCTGGGTAAGCTAGTACCCCCTCCTGTGCACTCAAATGTTCCAGGTCTGAGGGGTGCTGAGGCTGATGCTGGAAGCTGTGGGTCTTATTTGACACCTTTCAGAACCCTTCTTGGCTGTTGTCTCTTGCGAGCCCCCTGACAACCTGTGAGCTCCCTGAGGTGTTGCGAGTTATGTCCTTCTTGTCAGATTTAGAAACCCAAAATGTAGAGACAAAATTTCACTGCTGGTCTTAACAGGAGGTGCAGCAAACTGGACCCCTTTGACGGGTTTGTGCCAGGCTGCTAGCAACTACCAAGTAAGTCTTTTCCAAGACTTTAATTCTCTGAGAATGGCTATTTGAAGTTAGATTTTGATTTTCTGACACTATTTGTGGTGGGTTCAATCTTGGGGGCTTCAAAAGATGTTGCTGCTGAGAATCAAAACAGAGTTTGTATTGCCAGGAAGTGATGTCTGCATTTCATGAATGGTGATTTACAGTTTTCTGTCAGCTGCCTGAAGTAGGGGCTGCTAGCTCTTACTCCCATCTCACAGAGGGAGACTGAAGCCCAGAGAGAACAAGTGTCTTTCCAGGGTCTCATGAACAGCCTTTAGAGAGAGGAGCGTTTCCAGGTTGCTGGTGAGGGGCTGTGGTTTTTAGAGGGCAAATTAAATGACCCTAATCCTGGGCCAGTATTTCCTCCTTGGAGTTTCTTGAAGTCTTATCAGGTATGAACTTCTAGAAATCACACATATGCTTGATTTCTTCCATGTGAAAACCTAGTATTAGGGCTTCCAAAGCTGTCTGGGTTGTTACGTAGGGTCTGCAGATCTAGATGATCTAAAGGAAGGCCAGTGCCAGAAAGAAGAATAAGTATAGGTCTGTAAAGAGCATCCCTCACTGTTGGGAGGGGATCAGACAAGGCTCTGTGGATGACCTGTGGGATGAGCTTGGGCAATCCAAGTTTCTTAGAGGACGCTGGCCAGGAAAGGTCTCAGGTGTGCTGAACTAGATAGATATCATCCTGGAGGAGGAGCAGCTTCTGGGTGAGGAGGAAGGGTGCTGAACACTCTGAGTGGAGGGGCAGTTGGTCATTGATGGAATTACAGGATGCCATGAGTCAGAAAAAAGTATGGGTGGGAGTGTGCAGGCGAGCTTGTGGTGGGTGACACAAGGGGAGGCTTATAAATCTCTGTGGAGCCAGCAAAGGCAGAAGGAAGTGATTTGGGTACGTGGATGAAGCTTTGGAGACAAATGACCACCTCAGTGAACATGATGGCACACACCCTCCCCAGGCTTGAGGAGAATATCAGAGGGAGGGCCCAAGCTAATTCTCACAGGCCATCATTGCCCTGGTAGGTGTGAGACAGGGCATTCTCAGGGAAGACAAGGTGCCCGAAAGACACTTACCCACTAATCCTGATTTTTCCTTTTACTGTGTATCTTCAGGAACTTGCTTATGTGACCACGAGTCCCAATTTTCATGTCTGGGACATGGGAAGAGCGATTTAAAGTTAGCACCATCCTAGCATGTGATAAATACTTATACATCATAGCGGCAACATCATCATTTTTCCGGGTCACCACCTCCATTCTTTAGACTCCCATCCTCCTTTAGTCTAGGGCATCTAAGACCCTCCTCTTGTTGACTTTAGAGGCTTCTACTCATGCTCCATCTTTGTCCAGCTCGTTGTGCACTTGGGCACTTCCAGTAGCTTTGCCGTGGCCCTGTGTCCTTTGCTGAGCTAGGCAAGTGGTGGGGGCTTGCCATCTGGTAGCCAGTAGGGAGCCACGGCAGTGTGAACATACAGCCAGCCAGAGCGTCAGACTGGAGTGTCCATCCCTCCTGTTTGTTAGGCGAAAATGGGGGTGACTTTGGGGAAGCCAAAGATGCCTCAGAGATTGCCTTTTATGTTTATACAGGCAGAGCCCTACTTTTCAGGCACCCCTCCCTTCATAACACACACTCACACCCACTCACTCACTCATGAGCCTTCTGCTGTTCACAGCCTGCCCCACACCCTTCCTGGCAAAGCCCCTTGCAAATGCTGGCTTTGGGGCCTGGCACTTTCGCCTCTGAATCAAGACCTGTGAGTTTGGGAGTTGCAGCTTCTGCTAAGCTGAGATGATAATTGCACTATTTAAAGCCGGCTGTGGAGCTGGAGAAGCCAGGTGTCCCCATGTGGCTAAAGCTGCTTCTGCTTACTTCCATGTGTAGTGGTTAGGGTGGATAGGAGGTCCTGCCCAGTTCTTGAGGGGTTTCTGCCTGGCACCTTTCTCTGGGGTCATCTTCAGCCAGCTCTATGTGCCATTTAGTCAGAGGAAGTGGAGTTGCCACCTGGCACCTGGTTTGCAGGGAGGCTGGGAAAAGGTTTTTGGCTGCAAAGTCAGTTTCTGAGTTGTCAGTATTGCCAAACGGATGGAGGGAAGCTGGGCTGGACCACACAGCCAGCACCTTACACTGTTATGCTTTTACCTGTGGACTCTAGCATCATTCTTAAAAGAAACCTTTCAGATGAGATGGGGTGTCATTATGTCCATGAACAGAAGGAGCTTTTTAAACACTACCCCCATGCTTTCCTTTGCCCAATATGAAGACAATTCCTTCTCTGCCATGATAGGGTGCTTTCTCTTCAAAGTCAGACAGAACTAGGCCTGTACTTCATCTTACAGCCCAGGCCTCTGGTGTGTTGCCATACCCAAGTTCACACAGTTGGACTCTGCTCAAATTGTACCCCAGATTTCCTAGGGCCTGGCTCTATACTCCTTCCTTTGTGCTGTAGTGCAGGCTCCCTGGGAATCCGGCGCTAAAGCCATCTGCAGGGTGCTGAGTTGCTGAGAATATTCTTCCTTCCCCCATTGCCTTTTCTCTCCGTCTTTTCCCTCTCCCCCCAACTCCCTCTAGTTAGTGCTAGGGCCTTGCACATAGTTGGTAAGCCCTGTGTCACTGAGTCACACCCCAAGCTCTATACTGCTCTTGTCCACAGGACTGCTTTTACACAAGGGGACTTGGCTCAGCCTTCTCTGTTCCAAGCTTAAAAAACAAACATCCCCTCAAAACAAACAAACAAACAAACTAAGAAAAAATAAAATGAAGTGGTTGTGTGGATCTAAGCCCTCTGATGATGAGTTTGGAGAGGGAAGGTGGGCACTGGGGCCTTCAGTCTCAGCCTGGAGCACTCAGGGAGGGTGGAGGGGCTCTGAAACCCTGGGCAGGGGAAATTGCTATTGTTGGCATCCTCTAGGGCAGTGGATCAGACTGGAGCTGCAGTCCATCTCCTGTGCTCCCAGCTGCTCTGACACAGGGCTTGAGGGAGGAGGGGCCACCTCACCACACGACTTTCCACCTTGGTCCATCTGGTGGAAAGGACCCCAAGAGACAAGATCATCTCTGTTTCTCCATCTGGGAGCTTGTGTGTATGTCCTAGGCCTAGGGCCTGTCTGCATCCTCGTCCTCCTGTGTGTGTGTTTGTGGTTGCTGGCTTGAGCTGTGGTGCCGTTGGAAATGACTGTGAGTCCTGGGGCTTTCCGGCTGCCTCCTCCTCACATGTCCCCCATTTTTGCTTGTTTTATCAGGACTGTTTCCCCTTGTTGGATTCAACCCTGTTGGAAAGCCTGTATCTGATCTCTCACTCACACTGAATCTTGACCCTTCCAAGCTGCCCACCTTCACCTGCTGAAGAATACACAGGCTGCCCAATGTCTTTAGAAAGGGGGTGGGTGGAGCAGGAAGGACAATGCCACTTACATAGGTCTCCAGAGTACCTACCATTGTGCTGGGAGCCTGATGTGGTTTCAGAGTTCTCCTCCAGTGGGCACCCTGAGATTTTCCCTCAGAGAACTTGATTGAAGCTAGCAGCCTACCCCTGGACAGGGAGGTTGAGCACTGATGGGGGCAGAGAAATTCCCAGCTGTGTCCCAACTACCATGTCCAGCCTCCCTCTGCTGTGACCGCTGGGCACAGGCTCCTGACCTGGCTGGTGACTTGTGGTAGCACCAGCAGTGGGTGATTACCTATGCCAAGGGGGTGGATTGTCAGCCACGAGTGGGCTGCCTCACACAGGGTCTCCCTCTGGAAGCACCCATTTCATTCCTATCCCCATATGGACCTGTGGCTTCTTTGTCATGTAGTCTCCAATAAAGAGGTGGAGGCTATGAAGCTACTAGTTTTGCGTGCATTCTCCTTGGCGGACTTCAGAAGTGGGCAGTGACAAGCCGGCCTCATCCCTGCATTATGGGCATCCTAGCAGGCCAGGGTTCTCTGCCTGCTCCACTGCCCAGCCTGTGCCTCTCAGCCATGTTAAGGGAGTCCAGCCCCTGTGGTCTCCCATGCACTAAGCCTTTTAACCCCTTCTGTGCCTGCCTTGGCTTGAATGTGGGAAAGAAGGCTGTGTGGGAGGACGGAGACCCCATTTCCTCTCCTCCCACCTTCAGGTCTCAGGAGGACTCTAGGCAGCCTACCGGCTGCTCCCCTGCCGCTGACTGAATCATTTCTATATTTGGCCAGCAAGCCACGTGGGTGGGGAACCACTGGGGCTGCACTTCTGACAGCTGCAAGGGGTGGGGGGCAGGGGCTGCAGACACTGGGGCTAGGCAGGAGGCATGTGCATTCTTTGGGAAAACTTAAAAAGGTGCCACCAAAGAGAGGAATCCCTGAAAGGGGGCATGTGCAAACACCCCCCTATCCTCTCTTCCTCCGGTTTCAGGGCTCCCTCCTCTGCCTCTGCCCCTCCCCTGATTCCCTTCTCTTTTCAGCTGGTCCTCATGGCACTCTCTTCTCCCACAGACCACACCGTCCTCCAGAAACCATGGGTGTTGCTAGACCCAGCTGGGATTCTGCCAAGCTTTGGTGCTCAGTCTAAGACAAGGGCTGCCTTCCAGCCCTGCTCGCCCAGCCTGTCATGGCCACACGCCGATGCCTCCCGCTTGTGTGGGGACACAGGGCACCCAGCCCCAACCCTGAGAGGTTAAGCAAGGCCTTCTGGCTCCATTCCACAGGGACACTGCAGGCCCTGGGCTCCTTTCAGAGCAAGAGCAACTGATGACATGGAAGAAGCCCCTACCCACCTGTCTACTTGCCCGGCACTGCCTGCTCCGAGACCCATGCCCTGGGCCCTTCTGCAGGTGCCAATCCTGTGAGCTCCTTCCCATCCCCCTGGCCCAACACTGAGAAGGTTCAGTCTATCCCCATCATGTGTGAGGTGATGCCCACAATCAATGAGGGGGACCCCCTGGGACTCCCCCATGGTGCCGATGCTGACGCCAACTTTGAGCAGCTGATGGTGAACATGCTAGATGAGCGAGAGAAGTTGCTAGAATCCCTTCGGGAGAGTCAGGAGACTTTGGTAGCCACACAGAGCCGGCTCCAGGATGCCCTTCACGAGCGAGACCAGCTCCAGCGCCACCTGAACTCTGCCCTCCCCCAGGTAAGGTTACAGACTCTCCCCTCCCCGCTTCTCCGTTGAATTCAACACCTTTGGCCCTTCAATTTCTGCATCTATTTGCATATCAGATCCTGGGAATTTGAAGAGTGTTTTTGTCCCCATGCTCCTACATAAACCCTTTTCCTCCTAAGTATCATTGCCTAGATTGGAGAAATGAATGCAGATGGAAAATTCAGCCATGAGTGCCCACAGTAGGGAGCCCAGGCTACCAGTAGGTGGCACCCTAGACTGGGAAAAAAAATAAAGCAAAACAAAAAAAACAACAAAAACCCCACATCCAGAGACCAAGAGTTGACAGAAGGAGGAGTCAAGGAAGTTGGTTGGGAGCAGTCTTAGAGACCATCATTTCCAGTCTCCCTGTGGCACAGATGAAGATAAGAGGGCTCACACAGCTAATCATAGGCTGAGCTGAATCTCAAAAGCCTGGTGTCCTGGCGACCCGTGCCATGGTCCTCTACAACACCACCAGCAGCTAAACCTTAGTCACCATTTCTTTTGCACCTTCTGTGGGCTAGGCTCTCCATAGAGATTATCTCAGAAGATTCCCACAAGGAAGCTCACTCAGCACCCCTATCCTGATCTGCCAATGGTGATGCCAGTGGTGATGCCTAGGGGTGTCAGTCAGTTGCTATGCAGGTAGTTGCTATGCAGGTAGTAGGTAACAGTGTGAGGGCTGTGTACCCCTGGACCCTCAAGACATTGCCTTTTTCTCTGCTTTTTTCTATGTTAACACATGGACTCTGGAAATCTGAGTTGCTTCCTGCTTAAGTACCCATTGGGTAGATATTCTAGGGGTGGGGTTGGGGGTGGGGGTATATAGTTAGAGGCTGGAGACAGGAACAGGAGCCTGAGTTATCCCACAGCTTGTCAGAGAAGGTGTGGTCTGCCAGCTCACCAGGTCCAGGAATGCTGGGGTTTGTCTTTCTGTACGTACAGTGCATAATCTACTCGGCCATCCTTCCTTCCACCTCTTGTTGGGGGAGTGGTGAGTTTCAGTGCATTGCACAGACCACTCTGAGCCAGTGGGAGTGCTGCTTGGGTTGGAGAAGCAGCCCTGCAAAGCCAAATAACCCAAGCCTCAGCTGCAAGTCCCTTCTCCCAATTCATGGAGAACCAGGGCTTGGCCTGGACTGGTGAGTTCCAACCCAGGGGCCTAGAGTCTTGTGATGGTCTATGTCTAAGAATATGGACCCTGGCGAAGAGAAGGGATGGCTATGTGGGTCCTGTATACGTTGCCCATCATTAGCTCTGGGTGATGTATGCAAGGTTACCTAGCTAACTGGGGGAGAGCTGAAATTTGATCCCAGGTCTTCCCAACCTTTTATATTTGAAGCTTCATGAGAGGAACATAGTGATTGGTAAGAATTGGATGCTTTTCAGGGAGGCTTGCTTCCTTCCAGAGTCTAGAAAGCCCCTGAGCAGGCTGAACCCCTGGGAGATGGCCTTTGGCAGTGGATTATGACCTCATGGGGGTGACAGAGAGTTGGGCTGTGTCAGGGAGGGAGTCCTGCCTGGTGACTGTGTGGTTCTTAGACAGTTTGTTGGTATTTGGAAGCAGCAAGTCACTCAGGTGGTTTAGGTCTTACGGTACATAGCAAAAAGCCATGAGAGAAAAGTTTGAAGACCAGGAGGAGTTTGTACTTTGTTTTAACTTTGTGGACAGTATTGTCTTTTGGGGGATTCTCTTGGCAGCTGTCAGATGAGTTAGAGCTGGAAAGGGAGGATCCAGCATGATAGGGTAGGGAAACAAGGTAGCTCACAGCGGGGGCCAGAGGGGAGGAGAGCATTATTAGCTCACTAGGGATGGTAGCATGAGGTCTTAGTATGCCTTCAAGTCTGTTCTCTAGGTAAAAGTGTGTGTGTGTGTCCGTACGGTGTGTGTGTGCGCAAGCTAGAGGGCAAAACAGTAGCAGGCTCAGGCCTCAGCTTCCAGATAACGAAATATTTAACTTTCCTTCACTTTGGCTGTGGCTGTAATAGAAAGGTAGTAATCAAGGGATAGGAGGAGAAGTCCTCAGTTTTTCCTGCTCTGGTCCCTTGCCACTTCCCACAACTCTTCTATCCCCTTTGCCTGGTCTGGAGTGACAAAGGGATGCTGTGTTGAGAATTTTCCCTGTAGTGATGAGTTCTCGGTGGTTAAAGAAGGCCGTGGAGGAAGGGTGGGCCCCCAGCCTCTACAATATGCTTAGACTTTGTGGCCACAGGGTGCAGCTACTCATCTGAGAATGTGATTTGGGATGGAATGATGCCATCAAGCTGGTGGATGTGGTAGGCCTGGAACTCCAAGGATAAGCACTCTTCCCTAGTTGCTTGTCCTGAAAGAAGAGCAGGGCTTAGAAAGATCTCTCCATGGCAGTGTGGAAGAGTGTCTCCTAGGAAGGAACAATTAATCTATGAGATCAGATGCTGAGCGGTAGCCCTGGCTTGATTGAACAGGGCTCCCAGAATCCAGGGCTGACATAACAGGGCTGTGTGCCTTCCTATCCTAATGTAGGTGGGTCCTTTGACCTGTTTGTTTCACTGGCCATGTGCAGCTTGCAGAGCCCCTGGGAGGGGGTGAAAGAAAGCTCCCTGGGATTCTTGCACATGTGAACTTTATAGCACCACGCCTTCTAGTTTCTGTGTGGGCTTCATTCTATCAGACACAGTGGCACTGCCCTCCATGATTCCAAAGGAGCTGGCTGTGGAATTGCTGGAGAACTATGAAGACCGAGTGGGAGGGAGAATGTATCTGGTCACTGGTGACTGGAGGGGAGCCCTTGCAACGCTGTCTTGGTGACGTCATCATGTCCGTGTGCAGTGTTGTTCCCTGGAATCCCAATGTTCTTCACCTCTGGGAGCTCACATTAGTTGCAGACTTCCTGCCCTGCAATGGGGACAGGCTGGGATTTGAGGGAGGTGGGTCCGTAAAAGTAAGGGATGAGTGAGAAAAGCCTTCCGTATACTTGGGTGTGCAGGGTGCCAGTTGGAGGTGAATCCCAAGCACTGAGGGGCTCTGGGGCCTTTCAGGAATTTGCCACTTTAACTCGGGAGCTAAGCATGTGTCGGGAGCAGCTTCTGGAGCGGGAGGAAGAGATATCTGAGCTGAAAGCAGAGCGGAATAATACAAGGGTAAGTAAGGGGTAGCCTTGTGTGTGTATGTGTACTACCAAAAGAGCAGGCAGCACCCTGGCCAGGTAGGGTCTGCCTCCCATCCTGGGGTCTTGGACAGACAGACTACCTAGTGCCCAGTACTGGATTCCAACTTGTGGTTCCTGGGTCATGGCAGGGTTGAAGTTCTGAGAAGGAGGCCAGGGTAGCCGAGCTGGGGTCGGGTGTTTAATTGAGAAGTAGCTATTCATGGACACTGTACCAGGTGATCCTGTGGGCCCTGCTTTGTAGTCCTTGGGAGCACATGCCCATTTCCCTCCTCCCCTGTCCTCCCTGGCTTTTTACCAGCTGCTTCTGGAACATCTGGAATGCCTTGTGTCCCGCCATGAGCGGTCACTGCGGATGACAGTGGTAAAACGCCAGGCCCAGTCACCTTCAGGCGTCTCCAGTGAGGTGGAGGTGCTGAAAGCCCTCAAGTCACTATTTGAGCACCACAAGGCCCTGGATGAGAAGGTACCCACCTGCTCTACCCTTTTTCTCAATCCACCCAGGCTTCGCTGAGTCTTCTGTGCTCCTTCCTGGGTTTCTCTGCACCTGGTGTTAGGGACCTTGTCTTCCAGCAGCAGGACCCCTCCTGCCAGTGGCCTAGTGTCCAATCCTATCAGGTTCTCTCCTGGTCCTTTGCCTCTCCACAGGCCCTTCACATTCTTTCTTGCCTGACAGTGGCAGACCAAGCCTATGCGCCCCAGCCTGAGTTCTGTGGAATAGCTTTGTTCTCCCATTTCTCTCACCTGGGCAGGTGCGAGAACGGCTCCGGGCAGCACTAGAGCGCGTTACCACCTTGGAGGAGCAGCTGGCAGGAGCTCACCAGCAGGTAAGCTGCTCCGCAGCTCTGAGAAATCCAACCTGTCCCATTGCGTTCCTCATCAGGTTTCTGCCTGTTGGGGCTGTTGGTAGCTGAAGCTGGGCCAGGCATTTCTTTCCAGGAGGTTATTGACTCATTGTATTTTGGGGGGTGGGGTGGGGTGGGGCTGTGTCTTGTAGGTATCTGCCCTGCAGCAGGGGGCAGGAATTCGGGATGGAGTGGCGGAAGAGGAAGGGACCATGGAGCTGGGACCAAAACGCCTATGGAAAGTGGGTAATGGGGAATTGGTTAGCAGGAGCCCATATTCCACAGGACAGGAATGGGAGGTTTTGCCTGCCTAGGTTCAGGAGGATATTGCTTGGGTTAAACTTGGGGCATTCTGTAATATTTCCATTTTTCTTTCCCCTCCTCACTACTTTGCAAAATCATCTATAGATTTTCCATCTTGTGCTAATGCACATGATATTTGTGCCTACACATCTTCCTTATGTGTCAGCATCAGGCAAGGTTCCTTCTATCTCTGAGCCTTTCTAGCCCTGGGTTACAAGAGGCAGCGCTAGAAGGAAACACTAGAGGCAAGTGTTTTTTTCAAGAGGTAGACAGGAGAGCATTGGCCATTATCAGGAGTGAGCTACTAGGTTCAGTGGGAAGAAGGTGGACCTGGACCTGAGCTCTAATAGGACAGAGATATGACCTGTGGGGCATGCATTCCTTTCTCCCAGCCTCCCGGGGATGGAACAGGGTGGGGTGTGGGATTCTCTGGCTGCTTGGCTGATGGTTCACTGTCCCTGGAGGATGACACTGGCCGGGTGGAAGAGTTGCAAGGACTCTTGGAGAAGCAAAACTTTGAGTTGAGCCAGGCCCGTGAGCGACTGGTCACCCTGAGTGCCACTGTGACTGAACTTGAGGAGGACCTGGGCACAGCCCGCCGAGACCTCATCAAGTCCGAGGAGCTGAGCAGCAAACATCAGCGGGACCTCCGGGAGGTAGGTGAGGGCCCCAGGCCTGCTTGCAGCAACTGCATCTTGCTGGGCACAGGTGTTGGCATTCAGGAGGGTGTGATTAGAGGTCTAGGCAACAGCTGTGGAGGAGAAGACTCAACACTTGGCAAGGTCCAGTATGAGGTGGGAGACGGGAGGGTTGGCTCAAGGCCAGAAACTGACAAGAGGAGTACAGATCAGGGCCCTTTCTGGACTGTTGCGGCAGCCAGATGTTAGTGGGGGAGGTACACATGTGAGACAGGCAGGGAAAGGCTGGTGACCTTTCCTCTCTTACCTTCTGCTTTGCCCAGGCTCTGGCTCAGAAGGAGGACATGGAAGAGCGAATCACCACACTGGAGAAGCGCTACTTGGCTGCTCAGCGAGAGGCCACATCCATCCATGACCTTAATGACAAACTGGAGAATGAGCTGGCCAACAAAGAGTCCCTGCACCGCCAGGTAACTCCTCTAGATGGGCTGGGGTGACACTAGGGGAACTATCCCTTGATGGCCTAGGATCCCCTGGGGTTCTGCAGGTACACCTGGGAAAGAGGAAGTCAGGCACCTTGGACAGGAAGGAACCAAGGTTCCTCTGGTCTCTCACCTGTTCCCTGCTGAGGCTGGGGTGGAGATGGGGGCCTGCTGTGCCAATGTGCCACCTAGCCTTGTTTTCCCCTCTCTACTGCTAGTGCGAGGAGAAAGCCCGGCATCTGCAGGAGCTATTGGAAGTGGCAGAACAGAAGCTGCAGCAGACAATACGCAGGGCAGAGACTCTGCCGGAGGTGGAGGCAGAGCTGGCTCAGAGGATTGCAGCCCTCACCAAGGCAAGTGGGCCAGGGCCCGAGATCTTCTACCATCTCCTGTATCCTAGGCTCTTATGGAGCCAGGCAGGGTATGAGGAGAGTGGGGAACATCTCAGGCCAGGGAGTTGCTCCCCACAGTGAGATGCCATGAAGCAGTGGAAGAGTAATCCTTGCTTTTGTTACCTCTCACGACAGAGTCCCATTCCGTCCTCCTCCTCTCCCCTCCGCTGCCCCAGACAGGCTTTCTCTGTGGAGCTCTGGCTGTCCTGGAGCCTACGCTGCAGACCAGGCTGGCCTCTAGTGCAGATCCACCTGCCTCTGCCTCAATGGTGCTGGGATTAAAGGCGTGCCCCACCACAGCCCAGTTTAAGACAGTCCTGTAGGGGGAAGCCACTGCGTAGACATATCTATCTGTACTTCTTACAGCACTCCAGTTGATACTTCTTGTTTGAGGCTGCAGGATTTTCATCTCTGGAAGGATACAACCCAAGGAGAGATACCATCAAAGTCTGTGTATCTCCAAAGGGGAAGCAGGTAGAATTTTAGGCGGAGCACATCTTTTGTTAACAAATTGAAGCCTTCTAGGCATAGAGACTACCTCTGGTTGCTTGAAAGTCGAAGCCTTGGAATGAATTAGAGGTGGATATAGATTTACCTAATGGAGAGGTGACTTTGTGGTGCAGTAGTCCCTGAGAGGTGCACAGGCTAGGCACCGGTGACCTTTGGAGAAGAGAGGGAATGCATGGACCTAGACATGTGGCAGCTTAATCAAAGAGTTCGGGAGCCTTCATTGATGGGGAACTGTGTGTGTGTGTGTGTGTGTGTGTGTGTGTGTGCAGGTGCTAATGCATGATTACCATAGCTACCTCCCAAACCCTGGGGTAAAGGCAACCAGTGTTGTATGAGCACTTGACCCAGAGCCTGAGGCTTAGAGTTCTAGTGTAGCCCATGGGTGTTCCAAGGACTGAACTCACAGCCTGATTGTGCCTCTGAAGGCTCAGGCCCACGTCTAACCCCGCTGATTGGCTCTATGATCTGAGAATAGTTAACCTCTCCCCCAGTGGGCCTCAGTTTTCTTGCCTCTGTGATGGTGGAGTCGGCGAGGGTAGCCCAGACCTAGAATGGGGCACTAGATTTAAAGTATAGTAGAGGACTGTGTGTGCGGGATGCTGAGCAAAAACTGACAAGAGGGAGGGGTTGAAGTGATTCATGTGTTCCAGGGAGTAATAGCAGCAGGAGGATTTTCAGAAAGGGTTTACTGACTGTAAGGGATGTAAGGCTCTGGGTACAGAGACAACGGGGTCTCCATTTCCGGAGATAATGGCCAGAAAGGGAGAACTTTCCACCTGGGCTAGTTTAGTAGTAAAGGCAGCAACCACAGTGAGGCTAGCACTATGGCATGCTTCTCATACGTCCACGTTGACCATGGGTTATTCCCTGTAGTCCTTGTGAGGGTCTAGTGGGTGTAAGTTTTAGGGTTAGCCCTGGGTGGGAAGAATAGGGGGAAAGGTGGTAATAGTTCTGCTCCAAGACGATGGGAAAGAGCTGGGTTTCTGTCGCTGAGACCCTGATCCCTAAGACCACCTTGACACCAGGGTATGTGGTACACGGGGCCTGAGTGGAAGGAACAAAGGCCTCCAAGGTAGCTGACTTATCCCTGCACCTAGGCTGAGGAACGTCATGGCAACATTGAGGAACATCTGCGGCAGCTGGAAGGGCAGCTGGAAGAGAAGAACCAGGAGCTGGCAAGGGTGAGGGCACCAGTCAGCCATCTTGGCCTCCTCTCTGCCCGCAGGGCTGGCCTACAGGGTGGTCTGTGGAGGGGCACAGAAGAAGGGCCAGGCTAGAGAGAGAGAGATGCAGGAGGAGGCTTGCAGATAGGGAGGAGCTGGTTGGAAGAGCTGGAGAGAAGGGTCCCAGAGGGCAGATAAGGGGACAGGTGATAGGCATATAGAACCCTGGTGGAAATAGATGGTTCTGGACGAGGGCAGTGACAAGGCCTTGACGTGGCCATGGTACAAGATGGGTGGGTGGGCTGTGCAGGTGCGCCAGCGGGAGAAAATGAACGAGGACCACAACAAGCGGCTGTCGGACACCGTGGACCGGCTGCTTAGCGAGTCCAATGAGCGCCTACAGCTGCACCTCAAGGAGCGAATGGCTGCTCTGGAGGAGAAGGTGAGGGGATTGGATGGGCAGGGTGAGCATGGGGCTGTGACTGTCTGAAAGGGCCGAGTCAGCGCGGAGCCCAGCTGACTAGAGGAGTGGGATTGTGAGAAGTTAGTGTGCGTGGTGACTGGGGGAGGGGGCCATATGAAGGCACAGGAGTAAAAGGCCACCTGGGCCGCAGCTGGGGAAGGGAGGAGCATTTCTAGCCAGGGAGGGCCATGCTGGCCTGGAGAGGTATGCTGGGAGGAGAAGACACCTGAGAGCGGGGTCACCGGCTAGTCAGGGCCCCTGGCTCACAGCTGCCCTCCCTCAGAACATGTTGATCTGGGAGCTGGAGAGCTTCCAGCATCACTTAGAGGAGCTGCATGGCCACAAGGTACCCAGCTGCTGGCCAGCCTTGCCCACGTGTGAGGGCCCCAGGCATAGCACCTGGCGTTCATGCAGCTGCTATGTGCCAGCCTGTCTTAGTTCATGCACACATTCTGCCATCACCCTCCACTGTTAACCAACATGGTAGCTATAGACAATATATATTCTGTATCCACTCAGAAGCTGGAGAAACCGAGGCTGTGGGCATAGGCCACAGGGTTGTCTCAGAGTCTGGGCCCCTGAAGGGTCTGGTGGAAGCCTCTAACTTCTGTGAGGAAAGGTTCCTACGTGCTGGGAATAGCAGCCACTGTCCTCAGCAGTGTGTGGCACAAAAACCCAGTCCATTCTGCTGCCTGGCTTAATTTGCCTTGCATTTGTCTAGTGGTGAGGGTTCAACTGTCCTGTAGAACTCTTCTCTAGGCAGGGTCCATTTCTGACCTGGTCCCTGTGTCAATCTTCTGCTCATTTTCCAGTCACACCTCTTTTCTTTGGTGTCATCTGTGGCCCTAGCTTGGGGCCATTGTCTTTGGACTTTGCAGTGCATTCTTCTACTTTTCCCCAATTCTATTCTCCTCTTTGCCCCTCTCTGACTTCTACTCTCCCTTCTCTGCCCCTCCCTGGCCCCATCCCACTCTGGGTCTGCCTGGCACAGGGCCGCCTGTCTGAAGAGATTGAGAAGCTGCGCCAAGAGGTGGACCAGCTGAAGGGTCGAGGGGGGCCGTTTGTGGATGACATCCACTCCAGGTACTAGAGTGTGGGACTCAGTGCATGCTTGGTTATGGTCCTTAATGGATCTTGAGAAAGGAGACTCCCTCACCAAAGCAACCCCCAGGACCTCAGGGTCTTCCTTCTATTGAGGATGGGACCCGGGGCTCAGGCAGCTTGGTTAGTCCTTCAGCTCTCGGGATGCTTAGAAAGGGCACACATGTCCTCTAGGGGGTGCTGGGAGGCAAGGAGTTGGTGGTGCTCCTTCTCAGCTGTGGGAGTAGGCCGAGCTTCCTGGATCCTTGCCTAGGGCACGCCCTTGAAGGGTCCGCTGAGTTACAAGCTCTTCCCTGTCCCGCAGGACCCCCTGTAGAGTCCAGCACTCAATGTAGCTCTTCTGAGACACCTTTAGGTGTCTTTAGGATTGCTGTTTGAGAGGCAAGGCCACCCAAGTTCAAGTAGGAGGCGGTGACAGAGAGTGAACCGAGGCAGCAAGCCCTCCTTCCTTTTGGAAATTGAGATGCTGTGTTCCTCATGTGGCCGTGGCATCCCTCTACCTGAAAGCATTGTAAGATATAATGAGTGCAGCTTGCAGCCATACTTTGTGAAGCAGTTGGCATTGAACTCAGTTCTCAGATCAGCATCGTCGGGTGAGGATGAAAATGTCTGGATGCAACTGCTGAAAGTTCTTGGCTCCTGGTTGTCTCTGCAAATCAGAGTCTCTTAGACACACTGTTCCCTTCAGGCCATGTTCTTGCTGTATCAGGGAAATGGGCCTTAGCTATTAGGAAGGCAGGTAAGGGAAATATATACGTATATGTGGATGCGCAGTGCTAGAATGAGGGGAAAGGGTGCTGGGCTGGAGGTGAGAGGCCTCCGGAGGTCTGAGGTGGTGGATTTGCAAGTGTCATCTTCAAGTTCACCAGAAATTCTGCTTTTGTGTAGGGAGGGCGGATGAAGAGGAGATAGTTGGGATCATTCTGATTTCTCCTTTCCTATTGGTTGTCCAGAAGGAACAGGCTCTCGGTAAATGAGAATTGATCCGGAGCACACCATGCCCTTTGCTATTGCTTGTTTTCCTTGCTGACTGGGAATTCTTGGCTTTGCCTGTAGAGGCACTAGACCCCTCACAGAACTGAGGTGGGGGCTGGGTAGGAGCTTCCTCTTTATAGGTACATAACATGGGTGGTAGGCTCCTGGGCTCCATCAAGGCTTCTGGGCTGAGAAGACATAGGGTGGAAGTGCCACAGACCCGAACATTGTTCCTGGGACCTTAAGCTCTTGCACCTGGGATAGACACGTGGATTCGCTAGCCTGTATCTATGATGTAGTTTTGGTGTCTCCAAAGCTACCTGGGGATGTGGATTTTAGGTTGAATTTTAGCCATCAGGAAACCCACAGAATGCTGCTAGAGAGAAGACCAAGAAGCAAAGGGCTCCCGAGTTAAAAGGCCCGTAGAGTTCATCTCTTTGGATTTCTCTTTGTCTCCTGGGCCAGGAGCTCTCCTGCATGGCTGCGGTCACAAAGCCCAAAGCCCTCCACTTGAATACCTCTCTGACAGGGAGGTCAACTTTTTTAAAGCATCCTAACAGTTCTTGTCAGTAGAAGGTCCTGCTCATGCCAAATGGACCACCGCTCCCTACAGCTTCCTCCTCTGGGTCCCAGTTGACCCCTAAGCAACAGAGCGTAAGTGGAACCTCATGCCTCCATGGCAGCTCTTCTGATGTTCGAGACAGCTGTGTCCCAGATCACTTCTCTCCATACTGGCCATTCCCCAGTCGTTGGACCTTCTGAGCTGACGCCGAAAGCTGGGGCTGTCAGTCTTCAGGGCCTGTCTTTTCCCTCCTGCCACTCAAGGTCACATGTGGGCAGCACATCAGATGTGAGGTTCTCTCTGAGTACAGCGACGCATGCGCCCCCAGGTCTGCATCGCCACTATACGGCGCTGAGGGAAGAGTCTGCCAAGGTGAGGGGTGGAGGGATGTGTGTCTGGGTCTCCCTGGGGAATTTGGGGTCAGTTCGGCCGTGTGTCTGGCTCCAGTTACACAGACGACTGGCATGTGGTACAAAGCCTTGCCCAGCCTTCTTCCCTGTCAATGACAGCTGCAGGCTTGGGGCTGGGGCTCTTGTCAGCTGCAACAGCTGTGACCTCCCTCCCCCACTTGCCTTGGCCTCCCAGTGGGCAAGAGGTAGGGGTGGAAGACAGCCAGTGGTCCCTGAGGCCCCACTACAGCATGTGTGCGTGTGCCTGGGTGTGCACCATTCATTTTTGGTGGCCAGAGAGGGGGCTTCAGGGGTAAAATGGAATTAACAAGCTTCCTGGAACAAAAGCATGGCTTATAGTGGTGAGGAGAGAGAGATGACAGATTAACTGGCTCTGGGCAATGATACCTGAGAAGCACCTGTGGATTTACACTGTTGCCCCAGGGAGATGGAGGGGTGAGCAGTGAGAAAGAGAAGGGGCAGAAGAGGGCCAGCTGCTTTCCAATTGTCAGTCCTCATATGTTCTAGGGCCCTAGAAGGTAGGGAAGGAGAAAGAGGGAACATTTATTCTGATTGGGAAAGATTTATCTTTACCTCTGAGAATATCCTAATCTGACTTCGGTGTGTAGGTGTGTTAGCATACTTGGACGGCTGAGGCAGGAGGATTGTGAGCCAGTTGGGGCAACATGACAAGAATCCACAGAAAGGAAGGAAAGAAAGGAGGGAGGGAGGGAAGGAAGAAGGAAAGAAGCAAGCAAGCAGGCAGGCAGGCAGGCAGCCAGGCAGAGAGGCAAGGGGACAGGCATGCAGGCAGGCGAGTCTGAACACAGACTGATGACCTCTTCTTTTCTCCATCTCCTTATTCTTTACTCTGCTGTTTACAAGAACAAGCAGTTGCCCAGTTGCTCCCGCTGTGCAAAGGAGGCAGAGGCTACAACACAGCCCTGAGGGGACGAGGGGGACATGGGGCCTTGGGTCAGAGAGGCTGTGTTAGAGCCCTCCTCTCACCCATTTTCAGCAGCCTACATTTTCAGCAGGCCTCCAGAGATGGATTCCATGGGATGGAGGTGGGCAGACTCCTACCCCCTAGCTATCCAGGGATCTTATTGCTGCTCCTTTCATTTTCTAAGGACTGGAAGCCATCACCACTGCCGGGGGTGTTGGCCACCACCACACCTGCCTTTGACAGTGACCCTGAGATTTCTGATGTGGACGAGGATGAGCCTGGTGGCTTGATGGGCACTCAGGCTGATGTCATCTCACCCGGTGGCCACTCTGATGCTCAGACTCTGGCCATGATGCTGCAGGAGCAGCTGGATGCCATCAACCAGGAGATCAGGTGGGGTGGCATGATGGCTGCAAGGCACCCGGGAGGACTAGCCCTTTGTATTGGGGCACTGCAGGGAAAGGATTGGCCCATTTCCCATCTTGCATCTTAGAGCCACAATCCAGGGACACTCTGTGGGCACCAGGCAAAGAGTTGGCCTAAGACCCCAGAGGGGCAGGACTACAGAAGACTCTAGGTGTCATCTGTCTCCTCTGGGCTGGGAGGTGGCTGAACTTGGGAAGATGGAACTGTCTGTGTTCCAGATATTCAGTATGACCATGAAGAAGCCAGCTTGGGGTGGGAGCTTCGTCAGTGTTATCGTCAGTCGAGAGGGTTTTAGTGATTTGCTCATGGCCACATGTCAAGTGGCTGAGTCAGGAGCCAAGCTCAGGTAGAATCTCTGCCCAGTGCCATGCCTTTTCCTCTCTAAGGGCACATCAAATAGAACAGGAGACAGGGAAAATTGTCAAAGCCTTTACTTCATCCTGCGTATTTTAGTGAGCTTATTTATAGTACTGTCATGCAGTGAGGTAAAAAGTGACAAGCTGTTGAGGTCAATCTTTCAAATTTGAGAAATCAGTATCAAGACACACATGCTAACACAAGACTCCAGTGTTTAACTCTGTAGAGTAAACCAGTAGCCATAGCTACCATTTACCATCACAACTGATTTTCAAAAGAAAGGACATTTGAACAGCTTCAGAGGTGGGAAGGTGTTGTCTCAGAATAAGGACATATCTCTCTCTCTTTGAAGCACAGTTGGCATCTTTCCATCTGTGGATGTGCATATGCATTCACACCTCTGAGTGCCCCTCAGGCACAACACACCATCTCCCCATGCTTCTCATTCTCAGGGCAACAGAGGAAACCTCATTAGGGGTTGGCGTGAGTAAAGAGGATCCCATAATGGCATCTACTGAGAACATGAGAGACAAGAGAGCAAAGCCTGCTGAAGGTGTCTCCTGTCACTAGTACAGGTCAGGGATTCACACTGAGATGGTTCATGGTTCATTGACCAAAGTGCCTCCTTCCGGAAATTGGCTTTTGTTGAACTGGGAAGGTGGCTGGCCAAGAGAGCAGGGAACGCTGGTGGCAGCTGTAGGCCTTGCCCACCTTGGTGGTGAGTGCAACACAGAACTAGCAGCTCCTCCTGCTTTGTCTTCTGAGCTAATGGCTATGTCTGGTGTGCTCACCTGCAGGATGATCCAGGAGGAGAAAGAGTCCACGGAGCTCCGTGCTGAGGAAATTGAGACTCGTGTGACCAGTGGCAGCATGGAGGCCCTCAATCTGACACAGCTGCGCAAGCGCGGCTCTATCCCCACCTCTCTGACTGCCCTGTCCCTGGCCAGTGCATCTCCTCCACTCAGTGGCCGCTCCACACCCAAGCTTACTTCCCGAAGTGCTGCCCAGGATCTGGACCGGATGGGGGTCATGACCTTGGTGAGTCTGTGCAGTAGTTGACAGGCCCTGCGATTCCTAGGCCTGTCTCCATCATTCTGGCATCTTTTTCCTGTGACATGACATGCTAGGTCACCAGCATGCCCTTCTGGGTAGCAAAGGGTTTGTAACATCTTCCCTGCTCCCTCCTTTGGATGATCACAGTAGGCTTAGAGCCATACCCATTGTCCAGCTGCTCTCTCTTCTTCAGAGGAGATTTATCTTTCCAGGTGCTCCATTCTGCTGTGGTACTTTTTCCAGGCTGGTGTGCATCCCTGATTCCTCTGCTCTCATCCTAAGCAGGCTCGCCCTTTCCTCTTTCTGTTTTTCAGCCCAGCGACCTAAGAAAGCATAGGAGGAAGCTGCTGGTGAGTGCTTCCCGACACCCAGGTACTAGTGGGTTACTGGGTTACCCGCTCCCAGGCCCTTCCCTCTGGGCTTCTGCCCCTGGTCCTGGGGTCTGAGTTTACCTTGAGAGGCCACAGCCCTCTCTGCATCATTCTCTGGTTTTCTGATCCTCTGCCTTGTCTAGGCTGGGTAGGCAGGTCCCAGCTCTTTTCCTCTACCCCCTGACAACCCCACTGTCTGTTCAGTCGCCAGTGTCTCGGGAAGAGAACCGAGAGGATAAAGCCACCATAAAATGTGAGACTTCTCCTCCTTCCTCACCCAGGACGCTGCGGCTAGAGAAGCTTGGCCATCCTGCCCTGAGTCAAGAAGAAGGCAAGAGGTAAGTGGGGCAGGCTGCACTTCTGGTCTCTATTCCACAGCCTCTGAGAGGCTGAATCTCACTGTCCTAGGTGCTTGACTGCTTCATTTCAGTTTGGGACACCATCAGGGATGGATGTTCCCACGTCTCCCTGGTCACCTGCTTTGCCACACCCCTTCACCCCCACCCCAACACTGATCTGTAACCCTTTCCCAAACTCTAACTTCCACCTCTCTTCCTGTAATTGAAGTATGTTTCTTCTTATCCATCCCCTCCTGGCTGTCATCCTGTAGTGCCTTGGAGGGTCAGGACAGCAATCCCAGCAGCAGCAACAGCAGCCAGGACTCTCTGCACAAGGGCGCCAAGCGCAAGGGCATCAAGTCATCCATTGGCCGCCTGTTTGGGAAGAAGGAGAAGGGCAGGCTGATCCAGCTGAGTCGGGATGCCACAGGCCATGGTCTCTGACCCCTTCACAGCAGAGGGTGGGGTGGGCCCTGGGGAGTCAGCAGCAGAAGGGCCTGCTTCTGTACAGCCTTGCTTGCCTGTCCTAGGGCTTGTGGGTGGGAACCATGTGCCACCAGCAGATGGAGGTGTTCTCAGAGATATGTCATGCTGGACTGGGTTACCTCATGAGTTGGTGGGTTCCTGTGCCTAAAAGTGCCAGGCAGTTGCTGGTGTTCTCTGACCTGGCATGCTGCAGCAGGGAATCTGTGTGGAGGCAAAGTTGGCTCACTGCAGCTGCTTCCACTTTGGAGCATTTCTGATGGACATTATAGGACCTGCAGAGCAACTGTCCTAGTTTTATTTTATTCTTTCTTTCTATCTATCTATCTATCTATCTATCTATCTATCTATCTATCTATCTATCTATCTATCTATCTACCTGTCATCTATCTCTTTTAGTTGTGTTCAGTTAATCCTAGGTCTCTTGGGCTATCCAGGCTCTGTTTTCTGGCCCTCCAGGCAGTGTCAGTTATGGGCTCCCTCTCGTGGCCTGAGACTCAAGTTGGACTAGTTAGTTGTGTCCTAGATCTTAAAGAGTTGGATCGACACTAGACCTTACTTCTAAGTACGTCTGGTTTTCACAGGACTGAGTATGAAAACTGCTTGTTTGTCCCATTACTAGCGATTGAATTCAGGGCTTCCTGAATCCTGCCATTGCACTACATCCCTAGGTCTCTGTTTATTTTAAGGCTGGGTTTCACTGTGTTGTTCACATTGGCCTTGAACTTATAATCCTTGAGCCTCAGTTCTCAGTAGCTGGGATCATAGGCCTGAACTATCAGGCTGGGTTCTAATTATAACTTTTGTTCATGCATGTGTCTCTGTGTGTGTGTGTGTGTGCGCGCGCGTGCTCAAGACAGATCCTTGCTATGTAGCTTTGATTGGTCTGGTACTTGCTGTGTAGCCCAGGGTGGCTTTAAGCTCACAGTAATCCTTCTGCCTCTGCTTCCTGAGTCCTTTGATTACAAGTTCTGTGGCCTAGCAGCGTTTTTTGCTGGAGAAAATGTTTGGGCAGGAGTGGCTCTTCTGTCATGTGGCAGTGCAGAGCTGCAGTCATGCTTGGCATGTGGGGCACATAGTAAGCATTTGCTTTCTTTTACCCTTGCTCCACTTCTTTCTTTTCTTCCTTTCTCTCTACCTCCTCTTCTTTCCGACATTTTCCCATTCATTTATTCACACATTAACCCCAGTTCAGCACCACATAAGGGGACATTGTGCCATAGCTCAGGAGGCCTGGCAGCTGATAAAAAGGGGAAAATAAGGAGATTATTCGAAAACACTGTGATAGTGGAGATGGCCCAGGTGCTTCAGGACCCAGCAGTAGCCATGGAGGGGTTGGGGGAGGGGACAGGTTTCCTCCTGGGCAGCTCTGAGCTGAAGCAGGGTTCAGCCAAGACAAGAAGGGGGGTGCAGGTATAGCTTGGGGAAGAGGCCTGTGTGTGCCACTGTCTGCTCAAGTAGAGCAGGGAGATGTGGAAAGATAGGGGCAGAGGAATGGACGGCTAGCTCAGACCAGCTCCTGACCCTAAGAAAAGAGTCAGAAGTCCCCCAGAGTGGTTGGAGCATTGGTGAATCACTCGGGAGGAACTTGATCAGCTAGAAGAAAGGAACCCTTGGACCTAAATGTATAATTAGCCTTTCCTGACTTCACATCCTTGGGAAGGTGTGAATCAGAACACGGCTCTCTGAGTGAAGAGAAGGATGGGGAGGATGGGAGAAAGGCAAAGCAGGCAAGAAAGGAGTGTGACGCCAGCCACAGGAAGGTCGGCTCGGGGGCAGAGGCGTGTTTTGAGAAGCTGTGTGATTTCTTGTTCCTCCTGCTGCACCATCACCTAAGCTTGTCAGTGCTGCAGAGTATTTCTGCATTATCCACACCTGCTGCTGTGTGAACCAGAGTGACCAGGCCTATAGTGGCTTCAGTGACAATGTCCTTTCGCAGGAATTCTCCAGAGTTTTCTTGTGAATCTGGGAGATTGTCAATAGGAGAGAGTGAAGGGGGTTTCCCTTTGTAGTCTGTACAAGTGGAGAAAGAGCCTGGAGAAAGAGCTTGGTGTGCAAGAGGAAATCCAGAGAGAGAGAGAGAGAGAGAGTGTGTGTGTGTGTGTGTGTGTGTGTGTGTGTGTGTGTGTGCAGTATGTGTACACAGAATGAGACTGTTAGGAAATGAGGGCATATGTATGTGGAGCTGCATAGAGAGAGAGAGGCAGAGGGAGAGAGGGAGATACACACAGAACAGGTCTCTCCTTCACGTACAGATAAATAGTAGATAGATAGATGATAGATAGATAATAGATGGTAGGAATAGAGATAGATGACAGCTAGATAATAAATAGATGATAGATAATAGATGATAGGTATATATAGATAGATACTAGATAGCTAGGTAGGTAGATTTATAAGTAGATTGATAGATAGATGATAGGTAGATAGGTAGGTAGGTAGATGTATAAGTACATAGATAGATAGGTATATAGATAGATAGATGATAGGTAGGTAGGTAGATGGATAAGTAGATAGATAGCTGGATAGGTAGATAGATAGAGCTGCAGTGAGTGCAGCCAGAGAGATTGCCCAGGAGATAGATCTCTCAATAGTTTCTTTATCAAGTCAGGATCATTTTTTTTCTGCATTCTTGTCTGTGTCCATTCATATTTTCTCTAGGGGCCTGCTTTGCACCCTGGCTTAGAGAAGTAGTGGGCTCTGTCTAGTGTTCTAGAGTGGGATGACCCTGGTCCATCTCTCTGGAGAATACTCCTAGGGTTGAGGCTCCCCAGGGCATGAATCAACCAGTGCCACTCTGGGCCTGCCTGGATTGCAGCAATTTGAGGAGTCTGCCTTGGGGATAAAATGGGGACCCATCAGATTTGGTTGGGTTGTTCTATGCTGAGGAGGAAGCAGCTGCTGCTGCTTCTGTTTTCTTGGTTCAGGCAAAGGCAGAAGGGCTACTGACATGGCCATGTATTCCTTTCCAGTTCTTCTCACAGAATCCGAGCTCAGTCTGCAGGAACCAATGGTACCTGCCAAGCTGGGGACCCAGGCAGAGAAGGACCGGCGACTGAAAAAGAAGTAAGAGCCTCAGGCCAGGTGCTACTAAGGTGGCCCAGGCCCCTAGCCACTTTCCTTCCCCTGTTGTGAGCTCAGAGAGATAGAGCTTGGTCCATGTGGGCACATCTGAGCAGCCCTGTGTTGAGAGCAAGGCTTTAGGATGTTCCTTGGGAACAGGAAGCAGGAAGCCTGTGGGAGAGTAATCTGGGACCCATGGTTCTCTTGCAGGGCACATGGAGATGGCTAAGTCAGTGTGTGTGAGGTGTGAGAGCACTGTGGGCATGGAGGGTGTTCCTGCCCCACTTCGAAGTGTCATATTGCTTCAGGCATAGAGCAGAAGAATCCAAGGGTGGGGAGCTGGGGAAGTGCCAATGCCAGCTCTTGGCCCAGACTGGAGTGGTCCCCAGGACTCATCCTGGTTGAGAGAAAGAAAGATTAGTGAGCCTGTTGTTCCTCCCCCAAGACACCAGCTGCTTGAAGATGCTCGCCGAAAAGGAATGCCCTTTGCCCAATGGGATGGCCCCACGGTAGTCTCCTGGCTGGAGGTGAGCCTGGGCAGGGGAGATGCTCTGGGATCTTGGGGCAGATGCTCTGGGATCTCGAGGGAAGACCATGTGGGGTAGGTTTCCCCATTCCTACCCAAGTCAGGACAGTCTTCTGTGAACCTCAGTCACTTGTGTCTGCTTTTAGGGTTTGCTTTGCACTTTGGTTTGATGGGATGAGGACTCCCAAGCGGCAGCCATGGTGTCCCTATAACTTTACCAGAGTGTTACTGCCAGATAAGAACATATGTGCCATCCCAAGAATAAGGGGATGGATTAAGAGATATCAGCCTTTCACAGGCAGACCGACTCTTCCATCAGCTGCCCCAGGAGTAACCACCCAAATGATGCTGAGTTGTTTCCCTGTGCCCCATGTCTGTAGCTCTGGGTAGGGATGCCTGCCTGGTATGTGGCAGCCTGCCGGGCCAATGTCAAGAGTGGTGCCATTATGTCCGCCTTGTCGGACACAGAGATCCAGCGGGAAATCGGCATCAGCAATGCCCTGCACAGGCTCAAGCTTCGCCTGGCCATCCAGGAGATGGTGTCACTGACCAGCCCCTCAGCTCCGCCTACCTCCAGGACTGTGAGTAGCCTCCTTCCCCCTCAGATCCACAGAGGCCCTGATGTAGTGTTTGCATAGTCTCCCATTGGTCTTCAGGAAGATGGGAGCATCGAGCTCTGCTTTAACTTCCCATCTCCGCAAAAGGTTCCTCCCCCTGGTCTTCAGGAGAGTAAGATGTTGATTCTGGGAGGGTCCCAGCAGGTCTGGTTCCCTGCCTTCCATGGGCCACCCATAGGCTCCATTTCCCCTTGCCTACCTGACAATAATTGCAGATCTCTGGATAGTTTCTAGGATGGACTGCTTAGAGCTAGACTGTGGGGAGTGGCTAGCTGTGCCCATGGGAGGTAGCCAGGAGAAGGGAGTGTCGTATGTGGGGCCTCCTGCTGGGAGTCTTGAGGGTGGGCCCATCAAGGACCAGGATGCTTTCCTGTCTGCCTGCAGTCTTCAGGGAATGTCTGGGTGACACATGAAGAGATGGAAACTCTGGCAACATCTACCAAAACAGTGAGTCTGCCCCTTGGCCCAAGGAGCCGTGACACCCATGACGATTAAGTGGGGGGTATGGGAAGCCCGAGGGGCTGGCAGAGGCTAGCATCCCTGTTGTTTCTGGTTCTGTTCTCAGGGTGGAGGATTGTGGGCAGCATGAGACTGGGAATCATGGTTGTATACATTGGAAGCTCTGTTCTAGGGGTCATAAGATCCTTAGCAGCTTTGGGCTACAGAGGGATCTTCCCTTCTATGGGCCTGAGTCACAAACTCCATGCTCTTAGCTGGGTCCATGGTGGATCAGGAGGGAAGACTGGCAATGCCTGGCATCTTGCTACCCCCTAGTCAAGCCCCAGGAACTGGGAAGCATGTTTTTGTTATACAAATTTGTACCCCTCACCACAAACATATATGTATATATCAGCTTTCTCAGCAGTCCCAACAAGCTTTTCCTGGCCACCCCCTAGCTGCTGGGGTGTCTTTCCCACTCTTTTGAGGATGCCTGGGTGGAGGCTCTGGGTTTCTTGACTTTTGTGTCTCCCCTGACATGCGGCACTGGTTCCTGCTAGGACAGTGAGGAGGGCAGCTGGGCCCAGGTAAGATCCCTCCCTTCCTCATTAGAACTACTCCCAGCAGGTCAGGGAAGAACCTCTCTACTAGGCTCTCTGAATGGCACAGTGTGTGTGTCACAGTGTGAAACATGTCACACCCCAGACAAAGTTTCTTCTCCCAAACTCCCTTTTCATTCCTTTTCTGCTTTCGTAGGATGGCAGGTGAGGAGTGCAGGGTGTGTGAGTGGGGCTGGGCCCCCAGCAGGCCAGACCCTTCACTGTCTGACTCCCTGTTCATGAACGATGAGTCTTAGGTTCATGAATCCACTTCCATTTCTTATCCTTCCAAATGACACTCTGGTGAATGAGTCTTCCAGTCATCTACCTCGCGAACAAATATCTACTGAGCATGTACTAGGACTGGCCTTTCTAAACTCAGATGAGTGGAGGGCTAACACTAATGAGCAGGTTAATGGAATGCAGGGACAGTGCTTACAAGCAGAGAGCAGTGTGGGATAGTGCCTCCTATGCTGGAGAATGAAGCAGGGCAGCCTAGCTTGCACTTGCTGACCACACCATGGACAGCACATTCTCACACTAAAACACCAGAGGAATCAGAAATGTAATGTGAAGTGAAATAAACTGCAAAGCTTTTCTTTGTGTGTTTGTTTTGTTTTTGTTTTTGGAGATGAGGTTTCTCCATGTAGCCTTGGCTGTCCTAGAACTTGATTTGTAGACCAGGCTGGCCTTGAAATCAGAGTTTCACCTGTCTCTGCCTCCTGAGTCCTGGGATTAAAGACATGAGCCATCACCGCCTGGCTAAAGCTTTCTTTTTCAGAGTAGAAAAGTGGTAGACAATGGAGTATAGCAGTTTTGTGTGGGAAGGGCAGGGGACTGGGTCCAGAGAAAAGGGCTAGTTATGAACTTTGAGCTGACCACAGAGGATAACTTCATTTGATGGTAATAAATTAGTAATAAACATTACTGTATACAATTTTACATATATCAGCATGTAAAATTTCCTTTTAAAATAGGACTTTTCAGTCTGAAAACATCAAGTGGAGTAAGAGGAAAGTGGTTGCTCTCAAAACTGAAGCTTTCTAGAGCGGAGCAGTCAGTGAGTCCCTGCTTGCTCTCCTCCCGAGGCCATGCTGTTAGTGTAGGCCTCATGAGACAAAATAACAGCGCGAGCGGGGACGTCCACAAAGGCCCTGGAGAATTCCTCGTGCGATGACCAGTCCTCAGGAAACAAGCTGGCTCTTCTGGCACAGGCTGCTGTCCTTGGCTAACATTTAGTCATTCCTGGACTGTGAGGCCCCCACTCTCAGAGCCAGGCTGTCATCCTCTGCAGATCCACCTGCCCTGGCCTCTCCTCCAGCTCAGCAGGCTTGAGGCTAACTGAAATAAGCTGACAAGTTGTACACACACCACTACACATTGCCTTCTAGAGGTGACAGGAAGGACTCTGGTTCTTTTTGGTTTTTTTTTTTATCCTTAGACAGTCACTTTTGTTCGTTGGTGTAGACCAGAAGTTCTCAACCTGTGGGTCGCAACCACTTTGGGGGTCAAATATCAGATATTCACATTGCTCTTCATAACAGCAGCAAAATTATAGTTACAATAATAGTGAAGAAATAATTTTGTGGTTGGGATTCATCACAGAATGAGGAACTGTAAAGGGTTGCAACATTAGGAAGGCAGAGAGCCACTGCTGTGGACAGCTGATACTTGAGTAGAATTGGGTCATTTTGAGATCCTGGAATACTTCTGTGATGTCCTGTGACTACCAGATCCTTAGTACAAGTAAACTGAAATGGCATTGAACTGCTCTCTCTCTCTCTCATGGGTGGAGGGTAGATTGGTGTTTCTCCCAAACAGATATGCCACTTGTAACCTGTTGGCACTGCCTGCCTCCCTCCCTCCCCCATGTCCTCTTCCTTCTCCTGTCCCCAGACCCTGGCCTATGGAGACATGAATCATGAGTGGATTGGAAATGAATGGCTGCCCAGCCTGGGGCTCCCTCAGTACCGTAGTTACTTCATGGAGTGCCTGGTGGATGCGCGCATGCTGGATCACCTCACCAAGAAGGATCTGCGGGTCCACCTCAAGATGGTGGACAGCTTTCATCGGTGAGCCAGGGCCACCTCCCTGGTGTGTGGCATTCTCCCAGCCCTGGGGGCCTGTCTTTTGAAATGGCGGGGCCCCTTGTCTCTTTCCAGGGCCTGTTTTGGGTGGTAATAAGTGTTCCTGTTATGAAACTCATGGTTCTTGTCTCATTCTGCAGTTTGTGGATTTGACCCTGTCACCTTTAACCCTTAGGACAAAAGCCATTTTTCATTAGCATCACCTCTGAGTTTCCTCTCATTCTGAGTTTCCTTGCCTGTGTTTGGGCCGGCTGCATTCTCTGTCTTAACCAAGAAGGCTTCAGTGAATCTGGCATTGATGCATTTCTTCTAGGTTGTGTGATAAAATACCCTGTCTAAAGCAACCTAAGGAAGGAAGGAAGGAAGGGCTTATTTTAGTTTGCATTTCCATGGTCCAGCCCATTATGCTGGGGAAGTGAAGACAGCAGGAACTGGAGGCAGCTCGCTTGGCATTAGTGTTAGGAAGAAGAGGGAGATGGATGCTTGCGTTCTGAGGGCTTCTCCCTTCTGTACAGTCTAGGACTCCAGCAGGGAACGGTGCTGCTCACTTTTGGGTAGGACTCATACCTCAAGGCTGTACTATGTCAGAGGCCAACCCCATGACTTACTTCACCCAATGAGCCTCATACTTCCCAAGAGTGCTGTGACCTTTCCACACAGTACCGCCATCTGGACACCAAGTGTTCAAAAACACGAGGGACCACCACCCTGTCACAGGGGCAGTGGGCTTGATGCACTTTTGCACCCTTGATGGGAGTTTCTCAGCTTTGGACCTATGTCCCTTTATGCGGAATATATCACACATTCCTTTTCTTCTTTTGACTGGAAAGATCTGTCCAAATGTGTCACGGTAGAGGTCCCAAGCTGGTAGCCTGTGAGTAGAATTTGACTTATAGATCCATTTTGTTTGGCTGACGTGTTTTTGAAAATCATGAATTTGGTTGCCAGTGTTTTGCTTTTGTTTTAATTTTTATTATTTTATGTTTATCAGTGTTTTGCCTGCATGTATATCTGTGAACTGCACATGTGCCTATTGTTTGTGGAGGCTAGAAGAGGACATCTGATCCTTTGGAAGTAGAGTCACAGACCATTGTGGGTCACTATGTGGGTGCTGGGAATTAAAACAAGGTCCTCTGGAAGAATAGCCAGTCTCTTAACCTCTGAACCATTTTTCCAGCCCCCATTGCTGATGTTCTAACAGTAGTTTTTATCTGAGTGTCTGGAGTTCTAGCTTCTTTTGATTTTTTTTTTTTTTTGAGACAGGGTTTCTCTGTGTAGCTCTGGCTGTCCTGGACTCACTTTGTAGACCAGGCTGGCCTTGAACTCACAGAGATTCACCTGCCTCTGCCTGCCAAGAGCTGTGATTAAATGTGTATGTCACCATGTCTAGCTCTGGATTCTTCTCAAAGGTGGAAAGCTCTGTGGGCACACTGTAGTCTTGACACAACAGTCCCTCCATCCTGCATCCCAACTAGCTCATTAGCAACAACCAGTATCATTGCAGAAACCTGGTTTCAGCAGCACTGGAGAGTGAGGTTGGTGGTGATGGAGTTGCTTGTGTTAGAAGTTCTTACCCAGATTTCTATAGCCTCACTTGCTACTTAAGCTCTGGCTTTCCCTCCAGTAGATAGTAAAATGGGTGTTTGTGGCTTGTCTAGTTCATTCAGGACTTGGTGGACATCTTCCAGTTGATACATCATAGAAATTTAAATCTGGACAGGATCTCGTAAACTTTTTCATGGGCAAGGAAGCTGAGGCACAGGAAGGAGCAGTAGCTTAGGGATGATGGCAGAGAACAGCAGAACTGTCTGAGGGCTCAATCATAGTCCTGAGCCCCTTACTTCCCCTTTCTGACCCCACAGCAACTTGTAAGGGCTGCAGGGACGTTAAGCTATGTCTTCTCTGCCCCTCAGTCCTTGCTGGGGCTGAAAGGGAGTCTTTGTCTTTGCCTGGGAGGCTGCCAGGCCCAGCTGCACCTGTCTCCTCGTGGCTGATTGATAGGCTGGGAGCTGTGCTACTCCTCTGCCAGTCTGGCATGTGCCTGGACTGCTGCAGCATGCCCTCCAGTCTTACCAGGATGGTGGGAGCCCTCCCACAGCCCCACTGTGAGGAGCGGGGAGAAAGCCAGCCTGCCACCAGGTCATAGAGCAGTTCCGTGGGTCCAGGGCTTTAGGTCTCTGAGGTGTCACCACACATCTCGCCTCTGCCACTCACTCTGCTTCCATTCTACTCAACAGTCTAAAAGCATGTTCTTTTTTCCTGTTGGAACTCAGGGACAAGGACTCTGCAGCCCATACTGGCCTCAAACTCACAGCACTCCTCCTGTCTATGCTTCCAAATACTGGGATTACAAGTGAGTCCTTGTGCCTGGTCTGGGTATTTTCTTCCTTCCTTCCTTCCTTCCTTCCTTCCTTCCTTCCTTCCTTCCTTCCTTCCTTCCTTCCTTCCTTCCT